CTTACATTTGGTAACTTTTTCGTCAAATCTTGGTTAGAAAGTTATTTGAGCGGCGGCAACACTGGTGCTCATCTATACAACATATGTACATATATATATGAAAAATGCGCTCTACACGAGGGCAAGGCGCTGCCAGCCACGACCAGGGAGCGCTTTTATCCTGTGCGTGTCTACATGAAACCCATTGTAAGTTCTAAAAAGCTTTTTCGGCGAGATATGTTTTAGTTGTGTTTAGTTAGTAGCTTTCGGTAGGTTAAAACTCTGATGAAAACTCTGTCTAACAGGCGCTGATGTAAAACGATGTTGGGCAGGGCCAGCTGTATAGAGAAGGATCATGTAGAATGTCTTTTTGCTAATTACTGATATTAAATTTGTGAAAAGCACTCAACAATTTTTCGTTTGTCTTCAAACCAAATTATCCCTCGTCAAATTTGGAAAATCGTTCCATCATCCATCATACTCTTACCCCATCGGAAACAATAACAACCTAAATGGGAAGCTCTCTTTATTCTTTGGTGGCTTCCATTTTAAGCTCCCCATAAGTTGTGTATGTATGTGCATATATGTATTTATAAGCATATGTAGATGATAACAGACTAAAAGCTTTCTACGCAGAGTTTTATTTTCACTCTTCCATAGCTAGTTTCTGGAGGTTTGAGACTTCAATAAGAATATTACTTAATAAAATTTTTAAAAAGATTTTGAATAAGATCAGTTTGTTAACCACCCTCCTGTCAACTGCCAGACTGTTAATAGACTACTTTCTGATCCTATTTTAATTTGTCATCAAAGCACAGTTTTCAGTTAAATTATCTGTAAAGCGAACTCCAAAGCTAATGAATACTTAAAACAGTGATGAACAAAACAGCGCCCGCGGGAGCAAATCTTCACAGTTCTCTATGGACGCGCTCAGAGTAAAAGCTCTCTCTGAGCTTCACTGATTTAAAAAATTGATGCCATGGAGATAAAGCTTCTGCATCTGAGTATCAACCGTAAGTAGTGTCAACTAGCAGCCAGCTGAGCTTTGGACAATTCAATATAGTAAATAGGCTGAAAAGCACGAAGTCTGCTTGCAATATTTGTTTTAAAAACTATCACTACTCAGACTTAAAATGCTGAGGAAGATTATACACATAATAATCTTTTTCTATACGATTCTTGTGAATGTCTAAAAAAAAA